TTATTAGACAATATAGTATAAATACCTGCATGGGTGGGTTTAACTTTCCCATCCCTTACATCCTGCAAGTATTTAGGGCAGCTTCGCTTCCAGTGCCCCTTTTCCTGGCAGTAGAAGCAATGTGCTTCTTTAGGGTTTGAAGAAGGAGGAATGGAACCTTTCTTGGTTCCACTTGAAGAGGAGCCATCAAGGGGCTTTCCCTTGGTACCCTTCGAAGGGGTCTTCCTCTTCTTCCCCTTTCCTTGCCCGATTGCCAGAACAGGGGCAGTAGTAGGAGTAGGAGTAACAGCTGATGTACTTTTAAGGCCACTTTCAGCGGTCCTTAAAAGTCCTTGAAGCTTGCTGAGTGTGACTTCCTCCTTGTTCATATGATAAGTCATGTGAAACTGATCATAACTTGGAGGTAAGGAATGGAGAATGATGTCAATCGCCATGTCCTCAGGGAAGTATTGAAACTATTCAAGACTTTTCATTTCATAACTTATGAGTTTAATGGTCCATTAAAGTGAAGACTCTTCACTTTATGTAACCTCTTATTCTTTAATGACACTTTTAAAGAAGTGACTTTTGGTTATCCATAACTTGAGGACAAGTTATGGATTCCATCATTAGGCATTAAGATCAATAATCAATCATCAAAGAATTCAGCAAATAATTCCTATGATCTAACCATAACTCATAAGAACATGAACATTCATATCAAAATTCCAAGAATCATATTAACACATATAAAATAGGGAATTTTGATATTAGCCATTGTAAATGGATTAGCATAAGCATTACACCAACTAAAACAAGTTTTAAAACACCAAAACAGTTTAGGGTAATGTTTCTAGTCTATTTCCAGCAGCAAAACTCGAAAATATGCATTCAGGGGCTCCTACTCGTCGAGTGCAAGAACCTACTCGACGAGTAGGATGAATTATCACATGGACTCGGCGAGTTCATGCAACAGATAGCAGATTTCTGAGTTTTTTCAACAAGTTTGCATCAAGTATCAAGAAAACAAGCCTAGGCTCTGATACCACTGTTGGGTTTTGAGCATTCTAACACTTCTATGGTGTACATGCAACCCTAGAAACCTTGGATCTATGTTTTCTCTAAAATACATGCAAATTTGATTTCCAAGGTTTACAACCTAACTAGCATGTTATGGGGTACTTGTAATATAAAACTTTAAGTAGAATAACATACCTTTCTTTTGTGGTTGATTGCTTGGAGTTTTAGAGCCTATCACCAATAGTGTGGATGCCTCAAGTGGTGTCACAAATCACCCAAAACAACTTGGAAATACTTGAGAGAATATGATGATTGCTAAAATCGGCCCACTCTTGTTTCTCACACACACTAGTGTCAATTCTAGAACCAAGTCCCTCTTTATATAGTATGGAGGATTAGGGTTACACCTTAATACCCATGACTCTTCATTTACCTAGGATCCATGGGTTAAAAGCTCCATGGACTATCCATGGACTTCCATATACTCTTAGCCCATCCTAAATAAATCTTAGCCCAAACCATATATATATATATATATATATATATATATATATATGAAAGAGTCCATATTTAATTAGCCTCCTTTTGATCATTAAATTAATTCCAAAATCAATTCTTGATCAACACTAATTAAATAATATTAATATATTATAACTTATAATATATTAATGGATCATAAACATCTTATTCTCAAAAGTATATCCATACAAATTGTTAGGTGAAGTGCAACCCAAATGGACCATGCCGGGTCGGGTCAAGTTCATATCATTTATAGTTACGGACTTAGACACCTTATCCAACAGAATTTGTGGATTAAGTTATTAATGGTTGATTCCAAGCATTAAGTTGCCTTTTAGGACTTTTGAAATGGGATCTTGTCTTAGAGGGATGTCTCAATGGATAAAGTTGGAAACTTTATCCATTAAGACCTTAGGAAGAATCAAATATGAGTTTTGGAGCTCATGGAATCGATGGAAAATGGCATAATACTTTAAGGTGTTGAACCTAGTTTCCACGACGTAACATTTGGCTGCCACGACGTGGTGACTGAGGGAAGTGGGCGACTCTTTTGTCCTTATTATGCTACAACGTGACCAATAGTAGGTGACGACGTGACGTCTCTCTAAAGTCAACTTTGGCCCGTTGACTTTGATCATTGACTTTTTTACTTGGGTTGACTTTTTGGTCAAGGTGCTAATTATGGGGTATAGACTAAGGTTGTACCTTGTTTGATTGTTAGGTGTGTTGTAACATTGGTTTCGTGGCGGTTAGCTTTGGTTTATCTGACTTCGTGAGACAGGTCTTTTCACTATATTGTGTGGGATGTTAGTTGTCTTTATTATACTTGCGTGGAAGACCTCGTGGGTAGCCCGTGGCATTTGTATGAAAGACTATGAGGGTAGCCCATGACACTTATATGTAAGACCATGGGTTAGCTAAGGAAATGCAAGGAAATACCATGGGAGTAGCCCATGGAAAAGGTATGAAATACCATGGGGTAGCCCAGGACACTTGTATGCAAGACCCTGGGGGTAGCCCATGGCAATGCATGTATGGTATGTGGTATTTTGGGGAACTCACTAAGCTTTATGCTTACGGTTTTGTGGTTTAAACATTTTTAGGTACTTTCAGTTCGAAAGGGAATGACCTGGCTTGACTACACAACATTTCCCCCTGATGATTTTCCCTATGATGATTGTTTTTATACTCTGATGATTATGGTACATTTTTACTATGATGAGTTTTTTGGGACAAATAATATGTGATTTGACGAATTAAAAATGAAAAATTTTGTGCCTGATTTTGGGATGTTATAGCCTAATTTTATCATAATTTTTTTATCAAATAGAAAATTTGATAGAATCAATTCCATTCGTGCAACAAATGAAAAAAATAAAAAGTTATTACCTTCGATTCCATTAAAGTTCTTAGGCTGCTGGGTATACCCTCTCACTTTTTGCATGCGTCATCATTTGACTTGTACCCTCCCCTCACCCCTTTACTCAATGTTGTAAAACTCGGACAACTCGGACGAGTACTCAAAATCGCCCTCTTATTGATACGAGTTAGCCAACTCGACCAAATACCTCAAAATTCGGTCAACCTCGGTCAAAATCGGACCAATTCGGTCAAACTTGGCTAACTCGGTCAAACTCGAGCAAAATTGTCTTAAAAAGAGAAAAAAAAAATAAGAATTTCATACTTTATCTAACATACTAACTTTAAAAGTAAAATAATATACGAAATTAATAAATTATATATGCTTTCTCTATCTCATTCTCATCTTCAAGATTTTCATGATTAAAATCTTTAATGTTTTGAACTGACAATCAAACATGTATCTATTTTAGTGATATTTCATATACTTTGTTATGAATTTTAATAAACTTTTGATTTTTCATATATATAATTTCTCCAAATATAATTTCATTATAAAATACCATATCCGAATATTCTCCGAGTACTCGCTACTCCGACCGAACGAGTACCGAATAACAAGTTCGGCAACATTACATTTACTGATAGGAGACGATCATCTCTCACTACCTCTCACATTTTTAATTAAATATATTAAAATGTAATTTAATAATTATATAAATATTTAAAATAATAAAATAGGAATATTTCACTAAATTAATTAAAAACCATTAAATACTTAGAAACAAAACTTAAATAAAAAAATAGAAAGTAAGTCTACTTGAAATATATTTTTTCATAATTTCCTTTTATCCTCAAAACCATCATGAGTTCGTCTCCTAAAAGATGGTCAATGTTTTGCGTTAAAAATTCCATATTGCTTTTTTTGTTATTCTTCTCGTGCTTTTTGCTTCTCGGTTAATTTATCTTTTTTCAAATTGCAAACGACTTCCAAAATTCAAATTATATATTCTGAAGCTACTTGTCACCTTGCGTATGTCATCATTTTTATCCGATCAAGCTGCATTAGACAAATATCCTCTTTTTTTTCCTTGTTTGTACTGATTGGACGAACTGTCCTTCGTGATCAAGGTCGCTATCTTGGTTTAAGTCAGACCTGAAATTAGCATCCGATGAAGTCATATAAATCATTTTAGGTTTTTCTGTTCTTTTTGAACCACCATTTTCTTCTTCTATTTCGATAAACTCTTTCCATTTTTGGCGACCGGATAAAAACTTCCAAACATTTGACAAATTTGAATGACTTTCCACTATTGTTGATTTTAAATATTTCAAGCCTCGTCTCGAAAATGTTTATACTGCTTTGTCAACTTTTTCTTTGGCTAATCAAGTTGTTGTACACCGCGTTGAACTTTGTAACTATCTTATTCATTTCATGAAACTTAGTTGTACATTGGTACTTTGTACGATACTCGTCAAGACCCATTTCATTGTGAAACCGCTCTGTAATGCATCGCCAAAAATGTTCTTGCGCATGCGCATTTTCGTACATAGGATCCTCGAAAATGTTGATCCATGATTCATCTAATACGCTCTTCTTCTGGTTCCCATTGTCGAGGGACTACCTTTTTTTCCAAGGCTTTGCCCTTTCTTTTTCTTTTGGGGTCGGATGGTTCCGGTTCAAGTTCGAGTTCGTGTTCGGGTTTGGGTTTCGTTTCCCGAACAAATTTGATTTCCGGCTCGATCGGGGGTTTGCTTCTTGGAATGTATTTGGGGAGAACCGAAAAATTGTGAAAATATGTTGGGCTAATGGGTGGCATAGAGTAATATTGTGATATTTGTTGATGGTGAAATTGTTGGGGTTGGGGGTGAAAAAATAGGAGCACCAATTTTTGGTTGGTAAACCGACTGATCAACAACAAAAATATTTCAAATCGGAGTTGTTGAACTACTTGCGCGCAATTTATTTTGGCCGAATCATGGGGTGATTTTTGTGGGATGATTGTTTGGATTCATTTTGATAGTAGAAAGTGTAGTATTGCGTGTAAAATGAGTAGTAAAAAGTATAGTGGTTGTGTGGAATAAAGTTTTTGGTAGTATAGTATTTATAGTGGTTAAAAAAAATGGCCGTAGTTGGAGATGTATCGGTAAAGGAAGAAAAATTGGACGCCGTGAAGCTTTGTAGCATGGAATGGAAACCGTACCATTGGTCACCGGTCAGTATAGTGTTCACCAATATATCACAGTGTCGCACAATACCTCTCGTAATGTAGAGTTTTTGACCAAAATATGGTTAATGAAAAAATTATTACCAATCCAATGTAGTTTCAAAAATACTTACCAAATTAGTATTTTTCTTATTTTTCTTTTATTTTTTAGTTTTTTCTTATTGTTTTTATTTTATTTTCTTATTAGTTTTTTTTTACTAAAGAGTATCATTTATATTTGTATATCCCTTTTTTATTTCAAATTTCTCATGGGACTCGTTTATGAATTCTATATTCGTTTAAAATCAGGTAAACTCTTTAATTCATTCAATCACTTATAATAATAAATATTTTATTAAATTAAATTAAAAAATAATCTAAAAAATTATATACCGAGATTATCTAAACATTCAATAGTTCATTTTTTTTAATATTTGTGAAAATGTTAATCTTTTGACGAGGAATTTCATCAAGTAGTAACCAATCTCTTACAATTTTATCATTTGTAAATTTTTGTTGTAGTTTATGGTATTAGTAATGATTTTAATGTGTGTTGTGTTGATTATACTATTGATGTATTCTTCAATTGTAATCACAATTACTACATGGAATTTTTGGGACGAATAAAAATATCTTTCCTGGCTAGTAAAGAAAATAATGATGCTAGTGAATAATTTTTCGAATTACTATTTTTAATTTAATTTCAATAAAATAAGAATTATTATAAGTGATTTTTTTTAAATGAATTAAAAAGTTCAATTGATTTTTAATGGAGACGGAAATTATGAAGAGTGCTGTGCGAAATTTGAAATAAAAAGGGATATACAAAAGTAAAGATACTCTTTATTAAAAAAACTGATATTTAAAATTTTAAAAGAAAACCGAACAACTAAAAAATAGAAAGAAAAGAAAAAACACTAATTTAATAAATATTTTTGAAACTTGGTAAATATTTTTTTCAATAATCATATTTTAATTAAAAACTCTTTTATAAAATCCGAAAAACAAACGTGCTCAACATATATCCCAAATCCACGTGTTTATGAATGAGTTAAATGAATGGATACCCTCTTTGAATATGAATATATTTTGTATGGGTAAATGTGGAAAAAGTAAAAAAGGCAATAGAACATAGAATTATAGAAACATATTATGAACGCCCACCGCTTTCCATCCTCTGTTTCCAGCATACCCACAACGCTCTCGCCCATAATTAAAGATTTCCATTACAGTTTCGTTTCTATCTCTGATTTGTGTCCATATCTTCACTCAAATCTTCCCAACCAACGCATCGAATCGTATTCGATTTAAACGAACCCAGAATCACTGCCACAATTGATGATTCTTTTTCCTTATTCTTCGTGATTTTCGGAGCTAAAATCAACGAATTCGGTGAGCTTTCTTCGTTTTCATTGTGAAGTTTCATGTCTTTGCAATTTTTTGTTTCTGCTGATTATAGATACATGTGAGCTTTCTGATTTTATGAATCGGTGAATTTGACCTGAGTTTATTCCGAATTTAGTTCTTATTGTGGTATCTGCTGTGATCCATTCGTGCTCCCTCGGCTTCCAAAGTGTTAATGCAATTAACGATTCTTTCCACAAATTTAAGAAATCTGCAGTTTAGAATGGACCATTTGACATTCTAATTCAAGTTTTTGAATTTTAAGAACCGTTTCTCTTTATTGTATGTTTTGACAGTGAAGATGGAGGTGCTTATTCCTAACGAAACTCAGGTGAGTAAATATTCTACTAATGAAATCAATACGAAGCAAAAAGTCTGCAACTTTCTTCAATATGGAAGAAAGAGAAAGCTTCAACCCCTAATTGATCCTCAAAAACGAAGTGACAAAGTTTCATCACCGAAGAGGACAAGAACTTCTATCAAGAAAGACACTCCATGGATCAAAACTAAAGCTTTTCATGGAAAGAACATACCAAGTTACGCCAGTGCCCCTGATATCTGTGATTCTGATGAGGATGATAGCGAGGAAGAAGATGATGATTATTATGAATACATTCCATCTTCATCACGAAGGTCTAATACCATGAAGGTAGACACTTGCACTTCAATCCCATCCATATATCCACGTGGCATTTTTTTTTAAATTCACGAATGTGATTTATTTCCAGCTGGATCATAAAAGTGGAAAGGAGCCTTTGAAGTGTCACCAATGTAAGAGAAATGATAGAATAAAATTTATTCCTTGTTCCAAGTGTAAAGAAAAACTGTACTGTGTCCACTGCATCAAGCAATGGTAAATCCCGAAATCACCCTTTCAAGAAATGGTAAAAAAAAAAAAACATTTCTTGATTAAAAAAATGTGTTTTCTTGAGTATTTAGGTATCCTCAATTGTCAGAAGAAGACATTGAAGAGATATGCCCATTTTGTCGTGGAAACTGCAATTGCAACTTGTGCTTACACTCGAATATTAAGGTTTGTGAGATGTTCTACATATTGAAGAAATTAAATTATCAAATCATTTACTGTTGATATTAATGAAAAACAGATGCCAAAAATAGAATTTGATGATGATGCGAAGTTGCAGCATCTTCACTATCTAATCAACTCTCTCCTTCCATTTATAAAACAAATTCGGGAAGAACAAATGAAGGAGATAACCGTTGAAGCATTTGCTCAAGGTTTGTTTAAAAGAAAACCACCCTCTTACCTTCTTTGGCATTTAATTTAGGGTTAAATGTAAGAATTAACAACACACTTTCCTCTATTTTTGTATTATAGCATCGCTCTTTCGTTTCTTTTTGTTATAGCATTGTACTTTCAACGTTTTTTATTAAAACATCTTAATTCGAAATATCTACCGAATTTTAGCAATTGTAGTTTTAATTTTAATTTTTTTTTCTTTTTTGGAGATTATATTTTTTTTTTTGAAGAATTTTAGCGGGGACCACCGATAAAGTGTTTCCGCTAAATATTCAAAAGTTGGTCATTTTAGTAATTAGCCCTCGACAAATCTACCAATTATAGCAGTGAAATTGCTTTTTTATTTGGATGACATTGCTATAATTAGTAACAATGAAACATGAAGAAACAAAAGTGTAATACTATAATGACAAAATTACAAAAATAGTCCCTGTGGTTTACCAAATGTCACAAACTTAGTCCCTGCTAATTTTTTTTGATGCACATGGTCCTTGTATATAGATTATAGAGCCTTCAAAAACTTTCTCTTCGTGTAGGGGTGCCACAATCTTCAATACGAATCCAGCAAACAAACTGTTCCAATGATGAACGCATCTATTGGTAATTTTCTCATATATAACATTTCATATATCCATAATCACCTTATTATCTTTTTCCTATTGGCCCTTTTTTTTTCTTGGAACAGTGATCACTGCTCAACATCAATCGTTAATCTTCACAGAAGTTGTTCAAACTGTTCATATGAACTTTGCCTTACATGCTGCCATGAAATACGAAACAACAATCTTCTTGATGAAAAAGTTACTTTTGGGTACTTACATAGAGGTTCTGATTACATCCATGGTGGCTATCCATTACCCAACACTTGTCATGAATATATTTCAACTGAAGAATCAAGTTCTATCACAAAATGGGTAGCTGAAGATAATGGGAACATATTTTGTGCCCCAAAAGAAAATGGTGGATGTGGTGATTCTTTATTGGAGCTCAAACGGATCTTACAAGAAAATTGGATTGAAATTTTGGAAAAGAGAGCGGAATATATATTGAATAATTTCAAATTTGATCAACCGAATGTTGGATTATTGGAAAATGGTGGTGATAGTTATATGTATTTTAGGGCGGGTAATAGGGAAGGCTCGGATGGGAATTACCTATATTGCCCTTCATCGAAAGATGTAAAAAGGAGGGAGGAGATTGTCCGCTTTCGTGACCACTTTGCTAAAGGTGAACCTGTGATTGTGAGGGAGGTATTAGAGGAGACAAGTGGTTTAAGCTGGGACCCGATGGTGATGTGGCGTGCATTGGGTGAACATGTGGATGAAAATGTCCGTTTAAAGATGTCGGAGGTGAAGACTATTGATTGCTTGGCTGGTTGTGAGGTAATTTTGGCTATTGTAACTAAAATATTGTTTCTTGTGGTTATAACTTATAAGGGCTAATCATGAAAATGACCAAAAATGAGAGGGTCATATCACAAAATGCGGATCTTTTGAACATTTATTACAAAATGACCACGTATTTTTTTTTCGCGAAATAACATCGTTTTCGTGAAAAAAAATATGAAAACTCCGTGAATTTTCTAATGATTTTTGTAACGGGGAACACTGATAAAGCAATATCTCGAAATAGGTGGTCATTTGCGATAAATGTTTGAAAGGTGGTAATTTTGTGATAAGAACTTCCCATTTTTGGTCATTTCACATAACGATTAACAATGAAAGTGCATCACCTTTTAAAGCTCTTTTTTTTTTTTTCAAATAATATGCAGGTTGAAATTAGTACTAAGAAATTTTTCAAAGGTTACACAGAAGGAAGACAATATTTAAATTCATGGCCAGAGATGCTGAAGCTAAAGGATTGGCCTCCATCCGATAAATTTGAGGACCTTTTGCCACGTCATTGTGATGAGTTCATAAGTGCATTGCCTTTTCGAGACTACACCGATCCAAAAACTGGTTTTCTAAATCTTGCTGTGAAGTTGCCACCTGATGTTGTAAAACCAGATTTGGGCCCCAAAACATATATTGCTTATGGAATGGCCCAAGAACTTGGAAGAGGGGATTCTGTCACCAAGCTTCATTGTGATATGTCGGATGCGGTATTATTATATCATCCTACTTTCATTGCTTTCTTTCAATGCTATAACTCGGTAGATTTTTTCAAAATATAATTGACTATATAAGAACAAATTCGAAGTATAATGGTCTAATTTGGTAGATTTTTCAAAGTGTATCGACTTAATAAGAAAAAAAAAGATCAAAACTACAATGTTGTAATAGAACGAAAAGAAAGTTGGACTATAATGCACAAATAGATGAAAGTATGTTGCTATTTCTTGCATTCGTTCATGTCTTTTTGTCACACCATAGTACTTTAAAAAATACACCTTATTTTGAGCAATACCATCCAAATAAATAACGATTTTTACGGGTAGAGTTTTCAAAATAGAATGGTCTAATAATAATAAAATTGGAAGTAGAATGTTATAGTTGGATAGATTTTTCAAAGTATGATATTGTGATAGAAAGAAATATAAGTAGGATGCTTTGATACATAAAATTAATGAAAGTATGTTGTTATTTTCTGCATTCAGGTGAATATATTGACACACGCCATGAAAGTATCGATTAGTGACAAGCAACAATTAGCAATTCAAAAATTAAAAAGAAGACACAAAATTCAAGACGAAAGAGAGAAGAAGGAAAATATTGTTCAATGTGATTTATATGATTGTCATCCACAAGAGGATTGGGGGGACAAAGGTGGTGCTCTTTGGGACATATTTAGAAGGGAAGATGCGAAGATGTTAGAAGAGTATTTATTGAAACACTCGAAAGAATTTAGACACACATATTGTTGTCCCGTTAATAAGGTAAAAATTATTTTTAATTTCTTGACCTTTTGTAATTTGTGGTTATGAGGTAATTAGTTAATAATTAATGGTATATGTAGGTTTATCACCCTATTCATGATCAAGCTTTTTATTTGACCTTGGAGCATAAAAGGAAGCTAAAAGAGGAATATGGTTAGTATTTACGAAATTACCCTTAATTATTTAATAGGACTTTAATTCATATAAAATTATATGTTTAGGTGTAGAACCGTGGAGTTTTGAACAACGGGTGGGAGAGGCAGTTTTTATTCCTGCTGGATGTCCACACCAAGTCCGAAATCTCAAAGTAAGTTCCTTTTTCCATTTGTATTATTATTTTTTTTTTTCATTTTTTTTGTTTTCCCCTTTTTATCTTATTTGTTCCTTCTTGATCGTTCATGCATAGGTTAAACATATTTCAGTTTTAAAGAGTAGGTTAAACATATTTCAGTTTTAAAGAGTACGAAATTTAAAAAATTTAATGGTTAAACACATTAATATCCATTCTAGTTATGGAAATTTGGAAACAAGGAATATGGTGTTAATAATATGCTAAATGGTTGGCCAATAGACATTCATTGCTACTTAAAAACAAATAAATAATATAAAAAATAGGCTTTATTTGTGGCATTCTTTTAAGTCTTGTAACTTCTCGTAAACATGTGAAATTTGAGTTTCTATGCTTACAAAAAAAGCCATATGCCCAATAATGCCATCCTCTAAAAATTTGTATTTTTAGTTTTCTTCCAAAAATTCCCCTCATTTGCATTTTCTCTGACTGGTTCAATTTTCTTTCACACTTCTATCGAATCCAATCTTGATGTCTTTTTAATTGTACACCTTTCTTTCTCTTTCAAACTTCCAAAACTAATGCTTCCATTGCAGCACCCGCTTCTAATGTGTTGCAATGATGCAATAATAAGAGGGGAGGTTTAGTGGCATAACAAGGAAACAAACTTTATAATGTATGCAATAATGGGTTAAGTTCCTATTTTTGTGCTGAATGGATTATGTCCAGCTGAAGATTCCGTACCCGTAAGGGGAAAAAATTTGTTAGAATTTTAGCAACCTTGTAGTGGGTGCACATTGCAAGTTGCACAAATTGGTCCAAACATTGAAACCGCTTGACCAAAACTAGAATGAAGCTGAAAAAAAAATCAAAATGAGGGTATTATTTTGTTCTTGATTCTCAGTTCTTGGAAAAATAAAGTATTTTGGTCATAACTAGCCAAAAAATGCACCTAATTGCTTTCTTTCCTTTCAGAAATATTTCCCAAATGGAATATGTAAAGCTTTCAAAATATTTATAATTTTATATTGAGCATATAAGTTGAAGCGAGCGTGTTTGGATGGATAGAATATTGGATAGAATAGAATGAACTATATAATCTTAATGGGGGAAAGCATTCAATTCGGTGACATGTTGGTTGAAATGCAAAACATGAAATGAATTTGTTTATATTATACATTAGACGTGTTCGGCAAAATTAGCTGGTAGAGGGTAGCTTGTAGCGGTTAGCGGTTAGCTTGTAGCTTGTAGCGTTTTGTTAAACGCTACATGAAGTAGCATTTGAATTTGGAGCGTTTTGTTTAAACTAAACGCTAGAAGCTTGTAGTGCCAAACAAGGTTTTTTGTTCAAAACGGAGCGTTTTGTCAAACGCTAGAAGCTAGAAGCTCTCAAACGCTCCGTGCCGAACACGCCCATTGAATCAGTATATATTATAAACCTACTTTATAAATTATGTATTTATAATTAATAATTTTTTATTTACAAGATAAAAATATTAAACCTAATAAAAGCTCTTGAAAAACCAATATATATATATATATATATATATATATATATATATATATATATATATTCTTTTTCTATTTCTAATAAAAATAATATATATATTTTTCTTGTTCTATTTCTAAAATTCCAATTGTAATTTGAATAAAGTCATCAAAGGTCTTTTTGCGGATGTCTACAGGACGGATTCTTTTTTAAATCTTTTAAACTCCATTTTTGTCTTATTAGAATTTGGGAACGATGCGATCACCCCCTATATCTAAATGTAGTTAAAACAAATGTTTTTTGGCAATAAAAGTCGTAATATCTAAATGTAGTTAAAACAAATGTTTTTTGCCAATAAAAGACGTCGTGACGTTCGTAGTAGAGGTGTAGAAAAACGGGTTAGTAATTTGGCATGGACCAGGTTCTGGGTTTGATCAATGTAAGCTTAAATTCGGGTCTGGTCAAGCCTAGGCATGAACCTATATAACCCAGGATGTTGAAACCCATATGTAACTAGAGATGTACAAAAAAATCGATTTGGAAATTGAAATTGGTTTGACGGAATACACACCGGTTTAGTGCCGAACTAACGATTTATACTGGTTGAGGGTTATAGTCGTTAAACTGATTTGGAACCGGCTTTGAATATGATTTGGGGGATAGAGATTTTTTTGTGCCAAACAGTCATATAGCCGGGGGCGGACACGACATAGGATCTCCTACTAGGGGCGGACACGACATAAGATCTCCTACTAGGTGTGGAACAAGAAAAAAAATTCGCCTGTAGTGGCACATTTTCTTTTATATAGTTGCACATTTTTTAAGTAGTGGCATAATAGTAGAAAAAAAAATTCAAAATTTTTTGAACTGCATACAGAAAAAGGTGTTGTCGGTGCCACTACCGGCACCCACATAGAATCACCCCTGCATATAGCTATTTTATAGTTGTTTTTTTTTTCTTCCAAAAATGACCCTTTTGCATCTCATTTTCTGGTATAAATAGGTATGGGATGTTAGCTTTCTTACACCACTCAAAAACGCTCTCTAATATCTCAAAACACAATCTTTCTCATTGCTCACTTGCTTTATTAACTTCTCCTTGCTAGCAATGGCATCCGAATGTGGTCGATCACAATCTTCCGTTGGTGTTGGAGTTTCGGCAAACAATCTACCGGTTGTTAAAGTTTTAGCTACAAAAAGAAGGTTGTTGATTTGGCAACAATATGGCTTGTGTGAAATGTTGAGCATTCCGAAGAAATGTGGCCTCTTCTTAAAGGAAGGTGAAAATACGACATTTAAAAACCATGTAAATTGTATTGTTAATCGATGAAATTTGGCCCAAAACGGGAAGATGGAAAAGTTCATGATTCAAGAAAGTTTACCTTTTTACCATACTCGATTTGTGGAGTACTTAAGGAGAATGCTCTCCTATGATGAGCAACGAGGCATGCATGATGTGCTCCTATGTGCATGGGAGGTCGCCATGTACATCCTTCAAGAACGAAGGTTCTAAAAGCAGTTGCATGGCGTCCCATGATTGATCAACAATTAAGGTGTCCCCTTCATGGGCTCTCATGGGCTAATTATGGATAGGTCTTGCCCACCATAATTAGGGTTTCTAATGCTTGCCTATAAATAGGCACATATAGGAACATACCTCCTTCATTATGCTTTGCACATATACATGTGTGTGACACAGATTCAAGAAGAGCAATCAGTGTAAGCTTGAGAGCATATCCTTTTGAGCAGTTTGTAAGCAATCAATATCCTTTTGTTTTGAGAGCTCAAGTGAGGTGAAACATTTGTGAGTAATTGTAATTATTTTTGGAAGTTAATAAAATCTTTTCTCTCTTTTGTTTGCCCGTGGACGTAGTCGAATTGACTGAACCACGTTAAATACCGTGCTCCGATTTTACAGTTTTTCGTTTCAAGTTTTTCATAAATTTTATTTTGTGTGTTTTACCGAAGTTCGTTAATCATCTGTCTCAACTTTTTAACTTATTTTGTTGAAACAGGTTTGACCTGTGTATTACACATGTTGATTAAAAAAAGATTAAATATCTAAGGGTAACATTACATATTTTTTAAAGTAAATTTTTTGAAATAAGAAACATATTCATTGCAATTTACTATCACATTTATTATATTTAATACTTTACATATATAAGTATAAGTCTTAATGTCTTATGTAGCTTATTAATTTTAAAAATTGAAAAAACCAGAAATTGACATGTGCATATTATTTATTTCAAAGATATCACAAAATGACAAGTCTAAAAAATCATAAGAGATTGACATGTGACAAAATGTATCTTTATTTATTAGAGTAAGAAGATTTCCCTGTAGTTATTGAAATCAACTATGAAATAATAATTTTTGAAATAATAATTTTTACACTAAATTGATATAAAATTGCTACTATTTTGACAATATGATAAGATAAACATTTATTTAAATCACATTAGCTTTACACTTATGTTCTTGCAGTCGTGTACGAAAGTTGCAGCTGACTTTGTTTCTCCAGAAAACATTCAAGAATGCATACGATTAACATACGAGTTCCGTAAGCTTCCAAGAGGTCACAAGGCCAAAGAAGACAAACTAGAGGTGAGACATAATTTTTAACCCATTACAACATTAACTTTTCATCATACTTTCTAGTAAATTGAGCAAGATTGTATCTTTTCTGTGAAGCAGATAAAGAAAATGATCGTGCATGCTATGCACCAAGCTCTTACTGATTTTGAGGAATTGATGCATACACACCAAACAAACTAACATGTAATGTTTTAGAATGCATAGGAAGATGAGTATTGAGTATATACTTCAATGTTCATGGAGCCATTTGTGTTTTGCTCTAACAAATATAGAGTTTTGGAGCATTAGAATTTAGATTTACTCTTTTGTTATGTTTTACACTTTGATGAACAGTCTTACTAATTTGATTATTCTGGCGATGAGAAATAACTCGTTGCATGCTTTTCTTTGTATGTATGTTTTTTGATCTTTTGATTATTTTGATCATAAGAAATAAGAAATTTAGAATAAATGTACCAAACATGGCAAATGGGCTATTGATCTTAAATGCATAAAAAATGAGTTCTTTAATATTTTGCTGAAAAAAATCCGATATATATATATATATATATATATATATATATATATATATATATATATATATATATATATATATATATATATATATATATATATATATATTTCTTTGTATGTATGTTTTTTGATCTTTTGATTATTTTGATCACAAGAAATAAGAAATTTAGAATAAATGTACCAAACATGGCAAATGGGCTATTGATCTTAAATGAATAAAAAATGAGTTCTTTATTATTTTGCTGAAAAATCCGCCATATATATATATATATATATATATATATATATATATATATATATATATATATATATATATATATATAGGGTGAGGTTCAATAGAGAACCATAATTAACCAAGGAACCAAGGAACTAATCTTTTTTTCAACTTTTAAAACTTATTTTTAATCAAAAAAAAAAAACTAAAAATACAGAAATTCATAACCAATGAACTAATCCTTTTTCCAATGATATCAAATTCGATTTTTTTTTACGTCAAATTCACAATGTGAATCTTTGAAAATTCACAATGTGAATCCGGATTCACACGGTGAATCCGAAAAACATTTTTCACATTCACAATGTTAATATATGAATTTAGATATTTTTAGATTTTTTTTCGATAAAGAATAAACTCTAGAAATTGAAAAAAAGTTTTGGTTCCTTGAAGAACCAATAATTATGGTTCTCTATTAAACTTTTCTAATATATATATATATATATATATATATATATATATATGGGTTTGTCCATCACAACATTCTAAATTATTTAAAAGATATAAACTACAAAATTATATATCAATTTAATGTAAGAATTTTTATTTTATAGTTAATTTTTTATTATTTTTAATTAGTTTAATATTGTAATATTAAAAAGTATTTAAAAATGTTCTTATTAAACGGTGTGATTCCAAAGTCCAAACAACATTTGAGTTATTCTATGCAAATCTAAAACCTCAAATTCTTTTAAGGGTTATTTCCATAAAAGACCCTACATTTTGATTTTTTTTCTTTTTAGACCTAAAAGTTTTTTCTTTTCCGAAAAAGACCAAACTTTTACCTTTTACTTGTTACTTTAGACCCTAATAGGTAAATTAAGTATTTTTATTTCATAAAAGACCCAACATTTTGTACTTTTTTCCAGTTTAGACCTAAAATATTTTTTATTTCAAGACTATTTGTATAAAAAACGTGATTATATCCTTTTAGTTTAAAAATATACATCGATTTAAACAATATAATTATTATGCCTACATTTATTTATGATTGTAAAATTCTTTGTCCATGCATATTTATAAAAAAAGACCCTATATTTTGTAGTTTTTTCCGTTTTAGACCTAAAATGTTTTTTTTTTCAAAATAAACTCAACTTTAAAATTGGTTATAATCTTCAAGACCAAATATATAAGGTACTTTTTTATTACGCCGAAAAAGAAAGTACACATGTATACACTAAAAATATTATCTGATCTATTATCTTTTGAACGAATATAACCTAGAAGAATTGCAAAATTTTATTTTTGTCTAAAAGATATATCTTGGATATATATTATATCATTAAACTTGATATATTATTTATAAAAAATGTTATTATTACTGCTAATAAAAGTTCGATGTTAATTTGATATTTTTTTGTAACATGGATAATACATGGCTAGGAAGAATCTTTTAGCATAATAACATTTTTTTTATTTGTAGGAAATAAACATACCAGGTAATTAACAAAACTGTATACAAAATATTTTTTTTTAGTTTGTCTATTATACTTATTTCGTGAGTTTGGACATATTTCCCTCTCTCACTTTTCTATATTATTTTTTTGGTTGAATTTTTTAATCAATTTTTTTGGAACAGTTAACAAACGAACTAACTATCATACTCCTAAACCAAAGCCATAGAATATTTTGTAGCATTAGCACGTTATTGAATAATATGGTATAACTATATCAAATACATACATAAAAATATTAATCCTAAACATTCATAATAGTTTTGTTTAGATATATCAAATTCAAGTTTTGTTTAAAATTGCAAAATCTTATTTTATATACAGTTTATTAAATTACATGGTATGTTGTTTTTTTCTACAAATAAAAAAATTGTTATTATGCTAAAAGATTCATCTTAGCCATGTATTGTCTATGTTACCAAAAAACATCAAATTAACATCGAACTTTTTATTAGCGGTAATAATAACATTTTTTATAAACAATATATCAAGTTTAATGATATAATTATATATATATATATATATATATATATATATATATATATATATCCAAGATAAAGTTTAATTATATCTTTTAGAAAAAAATAAAATTTTGTAATTCTTCTAGGTTATATTCGCTCAAAAGATAATAGATCAGATAACATTTTTTTGTGTATACATGTATACTTTCTTTTTCAGTATAGTCAAGAAGTACCTTATATATTTGGTCTTGAAGATTATAACCAATTTTAAAGTTGAGTTTATTTTGAAAAGAAAAACATTTTAGGTCTAAAATGGAAAAAAGTAACAAAATATAGGGTCTTTTTTTTTATAAATATAGGTGAAAAAGAATTTTCCAATCATAAATAAATGTAGGCATAATAATTACATTGTTTAAATCGATGTCTATTTTTAAACTAAAAGGATATAATCATGTTTTTATACAATTAGTCTTGAAATAAAAAACATTTTAGGTCTAGATTGGAAAAATGTATAAAATATAGGGTCTTTTATGAAATAAAAATACTTAATTGACTTGTTAGGGTCTAAAATAACAAGTCAAAGCTAAAAGTTAGGTCTTTTTCGGAAAAGAAAAAAGTTTTAGGTCTAAAAAGAAAAAAAATCAAAATATAGGATCTTATATGGGATCTTTGGGCGGTTTGTACTTTGTATTTCACCATAAAGACGCCTGAATGATTTTGAGATTCACGCAGTACACACGTTCTCACATCTCCATTGAAGTGCCCATAAAGTTTTCCCATCTCCATTGAAGTACCCATTAAGTTTTCCCCAATTCTTCAGGAAGCTACGTCTATGGTCTATATGCACATCACCATGAATTTACCCTAAGAAGCGGAGATACCAGAAGAAACTATGATGAAAAGAGCACCACCTGTTTCATCTTCATTGTTTTCAAAATCCCAGAATTTGTGGCTTATTTGGAAGCTTTTGATTCTTCTGAGCATCATTTTTTTAGTCATGACACTTGCGCGAATTCAGTTTTATTATGATACTTCCCCACAGTCTTCTTCGGGTCGAGTTTATCGGCGATCTCAGCTTCCTATGATCGATGATGAGGGTTTTGAAGGAAACCCTAGAATTGCTTGCTTGTTTCTAGTCCGTCGCGATCTGCCCCTTGATTTCCTCTGGAAAAGCTTCTTCGAGGTTAGTGCTAAAAACATTTCTGTAGTGTTAAATCATCCATTAATCAGTTGTCATCATCATCCCATCTCATTCTTCGTTTCTGTATCATTTGATTGGATTTAAATACGGTTAATAAGATGAATACTTAGCTTGATTTAATCAACATTGAATTACTAAAAATGTAAACGAATCAGGGGTGTTTAGATGCACTATGTGAAAGCGATTATAGCAAATTGAAGAATGTGTTTTATCTGAACACCCAAAACTTCATTGATAGCTAGTAATTTAAGTTCGAAAACTTCCATGGATCATACACAGATCTTAAATTGCTGGGATTTGTTCTCTTGTCCATAAATCCATAGAGTAAATAACATATGTGCAGAATGCTGATGCAGCGAATTACTCAATTTATGTTCATTCAGAGCCTGGTTTCATATTCGATGAAACCACCACAAGGTCCAGCTTCTTCTTCAATCGACAGTTAAGCAACAGCATCAAGGTAATCAAAGATTCCACTTTATATTTGTTTCTAAATGTTCTATAAATTCTTTATCTTTATAATCATCAAATCAATAGCATTCAAATTGTCTCTTATCTTGTGAAATGATTTCAGTGTTGATGTTGCAGGTAGATTGGGGTGAATCAACCATGATTGAAGCCGAAAGATTGCTTCTTCAAGCAGCTCTTGAAAATCCAGCAAACCAGAGATTCATTCTCTTATCAGACAGGTAAGTATATCCTTAAAAGACTGTTGTTAACTTGTTATAGTAGCTATAGTTACAGCAAATCAGAGTAAATGACCATTTTACCCTTTTCCTACAGCTGTGTTCCCCTGTACAATTTTACCTATATTTACAACTATCTCATGGGCTCTTCTAAAAGTTTCGTGGACAGGTAAGTGGGCAACCATCTCTTGTAATAATCCCCTATTTTAAAATTTAAATTAAAGCTCTCTTTTTTTTTTTCATTGTATAAAGGGTATATAAGTAATTTTACACTGGTATGTGTATTGATCTTGGGTTTATGTTCTTGTGTTTAAGCTTTCTTGATATGAAAGAAGGTCGCTATAATCCTAGGATGTCTTCTGTTATACCAATGAGGAAATGGCGAAAAGGCTCACAGGTTAATTATATTTTCATTTTTAATATTATTATAAAACTGTATGCAAATGTACATGTTTTTACACTTTTATTGGTTTTTTAAAATGAAAATTTCAGTGGACTGCTTTAATTCGAAGCCATGCAAAAGTTGTTGCATATGATGACATCATATTTCCAGTTTTCAAGAAGTTATGTAAGGTAATAATACATCTTTTA